GGCGGGGCCGGGCGGGAAGGCAGGTCTAATGGGTGGGATGAGAGCTGCCAATCCCGGACTGGGAGAAGATGAGGTGGGACTGGTGGCCAGATTATTCTGAGGGGTCCCTCTGGGCCAGATCCCCTGGGCCACAGTGTAGCGGGGCTGGATGGAGACCACACAGGGGCTTGGATCACCCAGGGTCGTGGCAGTGCATCGTGGCTGGGTTTGGAGAAGGCCTGCTGTGCCTCATGCGCACCCCGATCTCCCTCCCCAGTTCCAGGTGACCGTTTATAACCCTTTGGGGCGGAAAGTAAACTGGATGGTGCGGCTCCCAGTCAGCAAACACGTGTTCCTTGTGAAGGATCCCAGTGGTGCAGTTGTGCCCAGCAATGTGAGCTCATTTAATGACTATTCCTCCCATGGACCCCCTCCTCCAATGACTCCCTCCCTCATGGCATTCTCCCTCCCCCCATGGACCACTCCCACGCTTGGATCCCGGGCCTCCTTGGATACTTGTCTTCATGGATACCTGCCCGTCCATGAGTACCTCCCGCCCAGTACTTTCCCTTCCTCCTCTGAATCTGCCCCCTCTGCCCCGTAATATCAAATCTCCTGGGAACATTCCTCCCTGTATCTCCCTCTTTGTAATATCTCTCCATGAAATATTTTTTTTAAAAAAAAATACGTTTCTATTGATTTCAGACAGGAAGGGAGAGAGAGGGAGAGATAGAAACATCAGCGATGAGAGAGAATCATTGATTGGCTGCCTCCTGCACGCCTCCTACTGGGGATCTAGCCTACACCCCAGGCCTGTGCTCTTGACTGGAATGGAACCCTGGATCCTTCAGTCTGCAGGCCCGACGCTCTATCCGCTGAGCCAAACTGGTTGGGGCTGAAATATTTTTCTATTTATGGATATTCCTCTCATCCTGAGAGGCCTCTTCCCACGAACCTCTTCCTCCCCCAGGAATCTTGTTTTTCCCTCACTCCTCTGCCTCAAAGATCCCTTCCCCCACGTACTCCCCCTTCCTACAGTCTCTCTACCCTCCCTATGGGTTGTTTTCTATCTACTGAATCTTCTCTTCAATCTTTTTATTTTTAATTTTTATTGATTTCAGAGAGGAAGGAAGAGGGAGAAAGAGAGAGAAACATCCATGATGAGAGAGAATCATGGATCGACTGCCTCATGCAAGTCCCTCACTGGGATGGAGCCCACAACTCGGGCATGTGCCCTTGACCAGAATCAAACCTGGGACCTTTCAGTTCGCAGGCTCTATCCACTGAGCCAAACTGGCTAGGACTTCTTTGCAATCTTGAACCCCACTCATTATCCCACCCAACACCTACATTTCTTCTCCCTGTCCTGGGACTCCTTCCCCTTCTGGAGTGTGACCCCTCCCTGTACATACGCCTCCATATGTGTACCCACAGCCTCTTGACTCAGGTTCCCTTCTCCTGTCCTCAGGTGGTGACAATGCCCAACTCAGACATACAGGAGCTACTTTTCTCAGCCTCAGTGCCTGCCCTCGGCTTCAGCACCTACTCAGTAACCCAGGTACCTGGCAGGAGCCCACGGGCTGACCGCCCTCAGCCCAGATTCCAGAAGCCCTTATCTTGGATCAAGTCCTCATCTCGGGTCAAGCCCTCGTCCCGTGTCTTGACCATCCAAAATGAGGTGAGAACCCATTCAGATCCCCTTCTCTGCCCCAGCGACAAGTTTGAGATGTCACAGTGAGCTGACCTCTGGGTCAGCAGGTCTTGGGTTCGTGGTCTAATGTCACCACCCACCATTGTGTGTCCTTGAGTGAGTGACTGCCTTCCTTTGAGTTTCAACGTTCTCTCCCGGGGCTGTTTTGAGGGACTGGTGTGATTATGGTGGCACTTGACAGATGACAGTCAGAGCTGATGGTGGTAGGGGCCTGCAGATTAAGTGAAGCCCTCTTGGAGGACATTTTGGGGGAAGAGGAACCCAGGCAGGCAGTGAGCAGCAGCCAAAAGCGCTAAAATAAATTAAAATTTATAAATTTCTTTTTTTGTGTGTTAATCTTCACCTGAAGATATTTTTTTCTCCGATTGATTTTAGAGAGAGTGGAAGGGAGGGGGAGAGACAGAGAGACACATTGATTGTTGCCTCCCCCATGTGCCCAGGCCCAGGGATCCAGCCTGCAACTGATGCATGTGCCCTTTACTGGAATCTAACCTGTGACCCTTTGGTCTGAAACAAGACCTGGAGACTAGGAATTGGTCAGCAGCATTCACTAGTCCAGGAAGGCCTTGGAGATGGTCAGAAGAGGGCAGACTGATGATAAGGCAGAAGGTGGAGCTGTTAGGATTTGCCAGTAGGGTCAAGAGTGAAGAGTGAGCAAGAGAGAGGAGGGGAGAGTGACTCTAGGGTTTTCTCCTGAGTCCCAGGAAGGAGGAAATTGCCGTTGGCTGAAGGGATGGTCATTAACATCTGTCCACCCTCTTCTGCCCAGTACATCTCGGCCAGCTTTGACCCTGACACGGGGCTGTTGGTGGAGATGAAGAACCTGGAGCAGGACCTCCGGCTGCCTGTTCGCCAAGCCTTCTACTGGTGAGGGTTGACCACCGGGCCAGGGTGGGGCTGGGAGGAGAGCGGGGGTCTCTTACCTGACACTTACCTTTCCCGGCCCCAGGTACAACGCCAGTACAGGAAACAATCTAAGCTCCCAGGCCTCCGGTGCCTACATCTTCAGACCCAGCGGACAGACACCTCTGTTCATCAGCCGTTGGGCTCAAACCCGCCTGGTGAAGGTCCGGGGCCTGGAATGATGAGTGGGCATTTGGGTTGTGTGTGTGTGTGCGTGCGTGCAGCCTGGGAGGGTGGTATGCAATGTGTTGGGTGGGAGTGGGGAAAGGGGACGGATGTGTGTGTTCATCAGATCAGAGGGCTAAGACCGAGGGGAAGATGGGAAATCCTTCCACAGGGCTGGTATTCATCACCTTTTTTTTGTTTTAAATTTTTAATTTCTTTATTGGTTAAGCCTATGTGCTTTGATATGCCCTCTGATTGGTTACTATCTCCTTCTGATTTGGTCACTATAGCAACTCTAGAGGGCAAAGGTCAAGCCTCACATGGGACAGGTGGGGCTCTCCTCCTTTTCCTCCCTTATTGTTTCCCTATTCCCTCTGGGCTTGCTTCTCTTTTTTTTTAATTTCTTTATTGGTTAAGGTATTACAAATGTGTCCTCATCCCCCAATTAACCCCCAACTCCCCCACCCCCCTGCACTCATGCTCTCATCAGCTTTTATGTTGTGGCATACCAAGGCATTCGCATCTGCTGCGGGGGTCAGTAGGAGACTTAGCTTTTGAAGCTGGGTGTGGAGTGAATGGGGAGAAATAGGTTGAGTATCTTGAAGAGTTCACCAAAAATCTGTGCTAGGACAGGATTATATTTGGGGTGGATATTGGAGAGTTCACACTTGGATAGGGCTTGGGTGGTTCTCACCAGGTGGGTAGCTCAGCATGCATCTGGTCGGGAACAGGGGCTCCTGCTTGTGGGGTTTTCCGGGGCTTCTTGTGGACACTTCCCGTTAGGATGGGAATGGGGCAGGTAATAGTAAGACTCACCTTTGACGGGAAGGTCTGCATACCTGGGTTAGGATATAGTTTTACTGCTGTAACAGAATGACCCAAATTAACTGCTTAAAACAAGGCAGGGTCTTTCCATGGAACAGAAAGTCTGGCTGGGTGGGGTAGTTCCACGGTCCTCCAGGCCCCTCCTATTTCATTGCTCTGCCTTCCTCAGCATTCAGCTTCTACCTCATAACCCAAGATGGCTGCTCAAGCTCCAGCCATTACATTTGCATTTGAGCTTGTGGGAGGGGCAAGAAATGTTGTTCACACCACTTTAATCACTTTGCATTGGGCAGACCACAGCTACTGATAGCCTCAGGGAAGGCTGGACCACACAGTCTTTATTGTAGGTAGCCACATGCCCAGCTAGAATCTGTTCTAAGGAGGAGGATGGGGTAGCAAGCGGGAATTATGTGGCATTGACTGTGGCGGGAATTATGGGCCTCAGCCTAGGCAGATGAGGCAGATAGGTTGTGTTCTCATGCTCTTAGTGGGGTTGACCCTGATGTAGGCCTTTGTGAGGTTCACGGCAGGGGTGGGCATTTGTGGGGTTCACCTCCGCTCCGGTGCAAGCTCACACTTGCCCAATGTGCCTGCAGACGGCCTTGGTGCAGGAGGTGCACCAGAACTTCTCAGCCTGGTGTTCCCAGGTGGTTCGCCTGTACCCGGGACAGCGGCACCTGGAGCTGGAGTGGACGGTGGGACCAATACCCGTGGGGTGAGTGGCACAGACTGGGCTTCTGGGGTCGGGGCCAGGGCAGAGTGATGGTAGGCCTGGCTCACAGTTTTCCTATTCCATTGGGTCTAGTGATGACTGGGGGAAGGAAGTCATCAGTCGTTTTGACACTGCGCTGGAGACAAAGGGACTCTTCTATACCGACAGCAATGGCCGGGAGATCCTGGAGAGGAGGTGGGGTGACTGGGGGCACCCAGGAGGACTGTGGTGTGTGGGGCCCATGGGTGATGGTGGCATCTGCCGATCCTATGAGTGTGGGTGGGAGAGTATGAAGGGGGGGTGAGGAGTGGGTGAGCCTGGGAAAGGGAGTTGGGGAAGGGAGCCAGAACCCAGGTCTGACCGACCACACCCTACCCTTTCCCTCCCCCAGGCGGGATTATCGTCCCACCTGGAAGCTGAACCAGACGGAACCAGTGGCCGGAAACTACTATCCAGTCAACACCCGCATTTACATTACGGTACCCCCTCCCCTATCCTGCTCCCCACCTTTTCCAGACCCTCTTCTACACAGTGGTGTCACCCCTCATTTTTAGCATCTCCCAGCTGCCGTTGGCCGTGCCCACCATGCCCTGTGCTGCCTGCCTGGGGCCCGGCCTGACTGGCAGTGTCCTCCCTCACTCTCATCCCTTGCCCTCAGGATGGGAACATGCAGCTGACAGTGCTGACCGACCGCTCCCAGGGGGGCAGCAGCCTGAGCGATGGCTCCATAGAGCTCATGGTGAGTGGTCTGAGCCAGGCTTCTCCCACCAGTGCCAGCCCCTGCTGGACCGGGAAGCCAGGTTCTCTTCTAGTTTTCTGCTGGTTGCACCCTTCTGTTTGGGGTCCCCCAAGCTGTGACCTCCATTCCTATGTAAGAAGTTTACTTCATGCTTTTTTTTTGAGGGTGAGGTTGAGGGGGAGGGTTAGGGTGAGCTGCCCCATACTTTTTATTCAATCCTCACTCAGGCGCCCCCTCCAATTTCTGACCTGCCCTACCCAGGCTTCCTTTAGGTCTCTTCCTCCCTCTCTTCTGGTGGGTAGGATCCCCACATCTGCTGGGGTCCTCTATAGCATACCTTCATTCTCATCTGATCACCCCAATGTTCAATTTATCTGGAAGTCCCCACCATTTCTGGCCCTGAAATTGGCCAGAGGGGCCTTCGCTTCTTTTGGCCACTTTCCTCGCAGGTGCACCGAAGGCTGCTGAGAGACGACGATCGCGGAGTTGGGGAGCCACTGCTAGAGACATCGGAGTCAGGGTTGTGGGTCCGAGGGCGGCACCTCGTGCTGCTGGACAAGGCCCGGACCGCGGCCGTAGG